ATTGAAAATTATTGTAATATTAAAATGCATTGACAATGATTTAAATATATTGAAAGTGATTTCATTGTAAATTTATATTATTCATTTGAAATGATTTTGTTAGATAAATGCATTGGAAATGATTTAACTTTACTAATGCGAAATAACTCTTTTCCTAAAAGATATACTACTTCTCGAAACCAACATATATGACAATAAAAATTTTAAAAGATTAAAATAAAATTAAATTCAAAAACTTCTATTATTTAAAATAAAAATATGCATAAAGAATTAATCAGCTTAAAATAAAATAATAAAAAATAATTGCATTATCAATAAAAATAAAATTTCATCAACAATAACAACCTTTATTCGTTTATTAGTCATTAAATTACATCCCTAGGGCATAAAATTACATCCCTAGGGCATTAAATTACATCCCTAGGGCATTAAATTCGATTCAGATTCTGACAGTTTCTGGGGGTGAAGCACCGACGACAATGATCCGGAAGTGGCGCCATTTAACAGTAACAAATATTCGCTTGAAAAATTCTGAAGGCCGAAGACTACAACGACTGAAACGGTGGGATGAAATCAGTTTCCTCGTTTTCAGATGGATTGTAATTTTAGTGACATTACTCTTGTTCAAAATCCTAGAAAGACTGGTGATTGTACCGAGCGAAAAGTTCGATAACGACAAAGATGAGAAAGTTAGTATGAAAGCATCATCTCTTAAATGTTTTGAAGTTGTGTAGTCTTTATCAATCACTGTTCACTATCTATCTATCTATCTATCTATCTATCTATCTATCTATTATTTTCTGACGATTAAGAGGGCCGAAGAGTACAACCATTGAAAAGATGTGATGAAGAGCCGTTCCTTCGTTTTTACATTAATTGGCATATTGCTTTAAAATTCTTAAGTTTTGTTACATAAAATTTTAAAAGAAATTTAAAACAGAATTATTTTCTGTTGACAGTTCTGTCAATATGGTCGAAGTTATCGATTTTACTGATAAGGAAGAAAACAGATTCCAATCAATTTTAATTTGATTTGAAACACACCAATGTATTTTAGTTATTTGCAATATTAAATTTAATCTTTCATATTAATAAATTCATTAAATATTGCATTTAAGCTGTAAGTTTAGTTCTCATTTTAAAATAATAAATTTGGAATCAGAACTAAATTTAAAGCATGAATAGGTGCATATATATATATATATATATATATATATATATATATATATATATATATATATATATATATATATATATATATGGACAATAATAAAAAAAAAGTCCTCCCGACACATAACGACTTGTAGGCGCGCCATAAAAATATCCCTCACTGGGAACCAACTAAAGGATGACCGCAAACATTAGCCTTGAAATAGATACCCTACCCAACTTTAGCAAAACCTCTCAGAAGATGATGAATCTATTGATAAGAATTAACTCTCTGACCACTTAACGAAGAATACTAGTCTAGCCACTCCCACAATAACGAATGTTATGACGGACCATGCCTAAAAACACACGTAAACCAAGAGATAGCTTATTCCTAAAATTTCGCTTGAAAATGAAACGGGACTAAACACATCAATTCAACTTAATTTTAATAGTTATTTGGATAGTTTCGGCTCTCGTTTTTGAAACATGAGAACTCTTATGTAGCGAAGGAATCATATTTTTAAACAAAAAAATACTATTATAATAAAGCTCTACTTCTGTATGGAGCACTGTCTTCTTAAAAATAAAAACAAAAATACTAAGGAACTCCGGATTATGCACCCAACGTGTTCTTTTCTATTTTCTGCATACCTGCGCACTTATATATATATATATATATATATATATATATATATATATATATATAAAACAAACGGAATTATTTTGTTAAACAAACGGAATTATTTTGTTAAACTTTTACAAAAAACAGAGGAATTAATTAGAAGGATGAGATGGAAGGCATACTTCTACTTTCGTGGGAATAACTCAACCGATAAAGAACGCGAAGTCTACGGCTTTAAAAGTAAAAAAGTTGCACCATTCAACAAACAGCTATACGAATTTGAAAAAGACCTACTCAACATTATCAACAACATCTCCTTTCAAAAAAAGAAAAGCCACTTCCAAAAACATCTAGACGAAATAGTTAAAAGCATTAATGAATGTGACAAAATATTAGTTAAGTCTGACAAAACCGGCAACTTCTACAAATTGGCTGTCGATGACTACAACAACTTAATTAGAAAAAACTTAACCAGGACTTATAAAAAAGCTTGTAACAACAACATTAATATGGTTGATAGCATAAACTGAACTAGTAAAAAAATAACTGATAAATTAAAAATCAGCGATAGAGTAGGTAAACTTGCTGAAAAAGAATGTTACATAACTCTTAAGGACCATAAGCCTGACTTTTTAGAAAACCCTGCGACCAGAATAATTAACCCTACCCGATCCGACATAGGAAAGATCAGCAAAAGGATCCTGAAAAAAATTACCTGCCAAATAAAAAAACAACTGGAATTAAATTATGGATCAATACTAAAGATGTCATTAATTGGTTTAACTATATTGATGATAAACCGAATTGCACCCTAACACAGTTTGATATCGTGGATTACTACCCATCAATTTCGAAGGATCTATTTACGACTGCCCTGGACTTTGCTGCTGTGTATTCTAACCTGACAAAGGAAGAAACAGATATAATCCTCAGCGCAAAGAAATCGGTCCTCATTCATAATGGGGACCAATGGATAAAAAACAATAACGACCTGTTTGACATCACTATGGGATCATTAGACTCTGCAGAGTCTTCTGAGCTTGTTGGTCTTCTAATACTATACAACTTAACGGGACATCGCGAAATTGATATTAAGGACATCGGGCTGTATAGAGATGACGGGCTCATGGTGGTGAGGAGTTCTACTAGTTTTAAGATTGAAAAAATCAGAAAAATTATATTTAGTGAATTTAAAAAACTAAACTTAAAGATAATTGTCTCTTCTAATTTGAAAAGGGTAAACTTCCTCGATGTAACTCTAGACTTACCAGGCAACACATACCAACCTTATAGTAAACCAAATGCTAACCCTTTATATATACACCCGAAGTGAAACTATCCTCCATCCATAATTAAACATATACCCTCATCAACAGAAAATAGAATTAGCAATAACTCCGCTAACAAGGAAATATTCCAACAACACAATGGCTTCTATAACACTGCCCTAAAAAATAGTGGTTATAAAAATGCTAACATTAACTATAGAGAAAATTGCACTGGCAATAGGAAAAAAAAAACAGGAAAAGAAAAATCATTTGGTACACCCCTCCGTTCAAACAAATGGTTAGTATTAAACTAGGGCAGAAATTCTTAGCTCTAATTGATAAACACTTCCCCGCCAATAGTAAGCTTAGTAATATATTCAATAAGAACACCCTAAAATTGAGTTACAGCTGCTCTGAAAATCTTGAACGTATAATAAAAAAACAATAATAAGATCTTGAACAAACCCCCATGCCTAAACAGTATTAATAAAAACCCTGCACTTAAATCAGACAATAAAAGAGAAAGATTATGCAACTGTAGAAACCTAGAAGACTGCCCATTAGAAAATAAATGCTGCATTAAATCTGTGGTATACCAATGTACTATATCATCCACTAAGAGCCCTAGCACTAATATGATATACATTGGGTCCACGAAGAATGATTTTAAAGATAGATGGAGGCAGCATAAGTGCTCCTTCAATAATATAAACAAAAGAAATCAGACTTCCCTATCTAAATATTTCTGGCATCTGAAGGAAACAAATAGGACACCTAAAGTTAAATGGAAAATTATAAATAAGACTAGAACATGTAAAACTTGGGATGATCCATGCTCTTTGTGCCTCCATGAAAAATTGCACATCATTAAGCTTCAAAATAATAATAATCTGTTAAACAATAGACACGAGTTAACGGTTTTTTGTAGACATCATCAGATTTTTGGTTTTAATTATTAGCTAAAAAAATTAAAAAAAAAAAATAAAAGCATAAAATATAATAACTTGTTTAATCCTTAGCCCAATCATCAGATTCATGGTTTGAATAATTAACTAAAAACATGCATACAATATAACACCCTTCATAATCCATAGCCCAAATAAATAGTTTAAATACCCTACAAAAAAGATAACCCTTTATGAAGTCGTCAAAAAACAAACGTTACGACAGTTTTTTTATATGCACAAACCCCTTTCATAAAAAATAAAATAAAAAAATTAATAAATCTCCACAGACATGCAAACTAGACGAGGGTTAATACAACTTCCGTTTCAAATTTAGACACCCCTACCTTTCACTGACTTGACATCTATGAAAGTAACTCTATACTGATACTTATTATTAACACCCAACACCCGCCTACCCAATTTAAACAATTCGCCCTCGCTGTTATCATGGAAATTTTGATTTCAATTTTTAAAACACGTAAATTTCAGAAACACGTTATTCAAAAAAAAATTTCGCTTGAAGATGGAACAGAGCTTATTTTAGCTCAATTTAATTTAAATAATTATATTGAAGTTTTCGGCTTATGTTTTGAAACATGAGACTTCTTATGTAGCGATTTGGAATCATATTTTTAAATAAATAATTATATATATATATATATATATATATATATATATATATATATATATATATATATATATATCTGTTCCGCTACTGAGCAGAGCAGAAAGGGTATTTTCTTTTTATTCATTGCCATTTCCAAATTTTGGGTGTGCACTTACCCTATGAATCGTCCGACCTAAAAAAAAAAAGACGCTGACATATAAAAGAAAATGTCAACGAAAAGGCATTAAGTTGATATAAAGCAAGTCAATCCCTCTCACTCCTGATCTGCCTGTCTATTTATGCATTGTTTATCGGCTTTTGTATTGTCCTGTTTTTGGTGCTTTTCCCAAAGCGTCTTAATAGACTTGGGGCTTTTCTTTTAACGAGTATATAATATAACGATATCACAAGATTGTCCACCATCTGTCCCCAAGGCGTTTATCTAATGCCGTGACACACAAAATAAATAATAGAAGCAAAGGAGAAGAAAGATGGCGGAAAGAAGAAATAAAGAAAAGTGAAAAAGACTGTAGGAGGGATTTAAGATAAAAATGAGAGGAGGAAGAGACAAAAGGAGAATCAGAGGGAGAGAATGTAGCGAATAAAGGGTAGGAAGGGAGAAAGAAGAACGAGAAGAAAAACAAGCGAGAAAGGCAAAGAATTATAAAGAAAAGAAAAGGAGAGAGTACAGAGAGAGAATAGGGTGTTGTCTAGTGTGCACTGGGGGATGGAACCACTTGTTGCCCGGAGATCAGATCCATTTTCGTGACCACATTTCAAAACATAATCGGATGGCAAATTTCCATAACTGATTTGCATATAATTTTGAAGTAAAGAAAGACAAAAAGAAGAAAGAGAGATTGAAAGACTGAAGGAAAGAAAAGAAGAAATAATGTAAGATGAAAAGAGAAAGTACATAGAAATGGAAAGAAAGACAAAAGGAAAGAAAGAAAGAAAGAAAGAAAATATTGAAGAAAGAAATAAATAAAAAGGAGGAACGAAGATGGAAGGAAAGAAAGAAGACTGAGAGAAAGGTGAAAAATAATTGAAGGGAGACTGGCAGGGAAAGAGGATGGAAAAAAGAAAGTCAGACGGGATGAACGGGAAGAAAGAATGAGAAACATGAAAGGAGAAAGGAATAAAGAAAAACGGATGGGAAGGGTAAAAAAGTCAGGACGAAAGGAAAGAGAGGTAGGAAAAGGCATGAAGAATAGGATTTAGTGAAAAAGAAAGAAATCCAAGACAAAAATAAAAAGAAAGAATTGGAAGGAAGGAGGTATGTGAATGAAATGATGGAAGGAAAGAAATAAAGAAAAGGCGTGAAGAATAAGATTTAATGTAGGATAAAGAAATCCGAGACGAAATGAAATTATTCTATTACTACAACAATTATTCTTAAAGTAATAAAAAGTAACAAAAAAAAACAAAACAAAAACGACCCCCCCAAAAAAAAACAACAACAACTAAACAAAACAAAAAACAATCAAATTGAAAACAATTCAAAAGAAGTGACGTCTGTTAATGCGCAAAGGCGTTCAGTTGCGGAAGTATTTTATTAATATAACGTAGAACAGGGTTGGCCAAGGCATGACGTCAAACGTGTGCCGGTAATAATTTAGACGTTGTCGTTTGAAGACTAGACTGTTTCGTGTGTTGACGAACAAAATCTAAAACTGTTTTATTGGTTGAGATAATAGGCAAAGGAATGAAAAAAAAAACGAGATAGAAATTCTATCGGGAATATTTTCATGGAGAGAAAATTCCTGAATAATTCGTGAAATAAAAAGCAAGTTCAAAGAATGTTCTAAACAGATTATCTGTCAAAAGGATGAACAAAAATCTGAACTTACTCTTGGTGAGTTAAAAAGTGACTGAGGTTATTGTCTAGGCCATGTACATTTATTGTACGGAGCGCTAATTTTAGCATCCTATCTCGATGTCGGACCGTTTTTCTCCCCGGAATCGATCTCCCAGATCTACAAATCAACCATTCGCCTTTGCATGGAGTATTGCTGCCATATATGATCTGGAACCCCGTCTGTTTGCGTTGGGGTTCTTGATATGCTTCAGAGGCGGATATGCAACATAATTGGCCCTGATCTGGCATCTCGTCTACAGTCACTTTCTCACAGACGCGCCGTCGCCTCCCTCTGTCTGTTCTACAAATACTTTCATGACAATTGCTCGGAGGAGCTGCATTCACTGGTTCCCAGATTTCATGAGTTCAAGCGCCCGACGAGACTGGCATCCCGCTCTCACCCCTTCACTGTCGAAACTCCTAAATGTAGCCGTCTCTTCTACTCCAATAGCTTCATGTCTCGCACCTCTCGCCTGTGGAACTCCCTTCCCTATTCCAGTTTCCCTGAGAGCTATCATCTCCAGCTATTCAAATGTAATGTCAATCGACATCTCCAGTTGCCTTGATCTATCCACTACCCTTCTCCTCATCCTTTCTTCTATCACTCCTATCTTGCTCTAAATTTTCTGTAACCCCCTGCATCCTAGTGGCTTCTCGCCTTGCTTGGGGTGAAACGCTTAAAAAAAATGTGGAAGATAGGGCTTTTTTTTTATCATCTGAGCATGCTGCTGGTGATAGTGTTATCAACGCTAGCGTGTCTGCTGAAATGGTTTAATGTCTTCTGCACATTAAATAATGCATGACTAGAATTTGAGCATTACACCCCAATAATAATAATAATAATAATAATAATAAAGAGGCGCCATAACAAAGTTTATTAGCATCTCCTGGAGTGTTTCTGTTGGAAGTATAGACATATTGGGTTTATCAAAGATATGCAAGAGCACTTAATCGCACCTACCGTAGATACAGATCTTTACCTGAACAGTAAATAAATAAATAAAAATAAAATAATGCAAGAGATTGTCTTATTTTTTTCTTTCAGATGTTAGGAGAGCATCTTCGCTTCACGACGTCTACCCCAATCCCAAATAGTGTTCCTGTACAGAGTGGGTTTTACCCTAACAGGCCCTTAAAATTCACAAGCTAATATAAATTAGGGAAGGTCAAAACAAACGGATTTTAACCTTCTGACATGCAAACATAAACCGGAGGCCATATTGGAAGATGAGCACGCGAATCTCGTGTGGGGCGTCACAGTTCAGACTGACAGAAGTACCTGGACGCACTAGACTAGATCAGACATAACATCGATTATAAAAAATGTTCTCACGAGTGTCCGTTGAGGTTCACGTGCCATGCCTTAGTGATCGTTACATTGCACGCTGAAATGATTGTCAACTACCAAGTGTAGATACTGGCAGAATGTGGAATGTAACATGCTCTAGGTGTGGCAATTATCACAGGAGCCGTTGGGATGATTCTACAAGGACACCTTTATATTATAGGAAAATTAGCGTAAGAGGATCTAGAAGAGTGGGCATTCAAGACAACTTTCATTTCGCTATTTAATAATAATACAAATATTAAATGTAAGGGTTCACTTACTTTTGCACATTGTAATTTTTAACTAATATTTTTATTTCAGCTCGATGAAAAAAAAAATTGAAACTGGTTGTAATTCATTTAATAAAGGATTTTCTTAATGAATACATAGTTTAATTACGATCTATTGATTATCTGAAAAAAAACTTTTTAAAAATATTATCTAGGTGTTCTCACACCTTGATAATATTAAAATATATATTGCGTAGCGCTGTATATATAGTACTATGGGTGGTAGTGATGTTTAAAACACAATACGGGGTGCTGCATCGATAACCCTACCATGCTGTTCTGGTGAGGATGATGGGGAGACAACCAGTTAGATTAAAAAGAAACTTGAATAATCCTACAGGGTCAACGGTTATCTCGTGCCGACACTCGTGTTGCGGTGCTGTTCCCAGTTAGACCCAAAGAAATGCCACAAATATGTGTAAGGAATTGGAATGAATTTCAACGAGGCGATCTTTTAGATTTTTGTCTTTATATAACTGAGCAACAAGAGAAAGACAATACACAAGTACGAAATCAAAAGGAAGAAGACATTAAAAGTTAAGAATTGTGTGGGTAATACACACGTGCGTGTATTTGTGTTCTTGTGCGAATGTTCAGTCTCTGAGGGGAAACAATGTCCCATACCCGGGAAGCACCCGGTTGCTGTTGTCCCCTTCTACCGCACGCTAGAAGGAAAAGAAGCATAAGTATATTTGTCCGGCCCACCAGACTAAGGCAGGATGGGACACAAGTACTGGCATCTGTATTGTCGGGTTATCGGCAGCTGAATCTGTTCCCCGCCAGGCTGTTTCACGAGATCAACGCTTATTTAGCGCAGACAGTTTTGCGGCACAGCCTCAAGTTAGACTCAAAGCAGTGGCAACCTTATTTAGAAACATGCAATTTGCAGCTCGGGGAATGCTAGAATGAAGCAGACGCAGATTTTAAATATCTGGGAAGCGTCTTGTCAGAGGACGATAAGTGCGACACTGAGATCCGTAGACGTTTTGGGATGACCAAAGACACATTCCATAAGCTGGGCAGAGTACTGCGACACAGGAGGATTTCTTTGGTAACAAAGAAAAGAATACTGAGCTTTTACGTGACATCTGTCCTTCTTTACGGCAGCGAATGTTGGACGATTTCCTCAAAGATGAAGAAGAGACTCGAGGCGACAGAGATGTGGTTCTACAGAAGGATGCTAAGGTTATCATGGACCGAGCGTGTGAGCAACGTTGAGGCCTTAGAGAGGTTAAAAACAAGGAGAAGGCTTATAATTAACAGCAGAAAGAGGCAGCTGAAGGTTCTGGGACATATAATGAGGAAGGGGGGCCTGGAGAATCTGATACTCACGGGTCGAACAGAGGGAAAAAGAGACAAGAGAGAGCAGCGCGTGACATACCTGACGAGCTTGAGCCGGTGGATGACAGAACGTGGTCTGGGGAGGAAACAGAGGGAAGGAACTTGCAAGGGATAGAGGGAGGTGGAGAGCCATGATCGCCTACGTCCTGAAATACATGGCGAGAAAAAAAGAAAAAGAATGAATGGCGGGTATAAGAAAATAGAATAAATTTCAACATGGCTTTCCATACTATATATATATATATATATATATATATATAGACTTTGAAAGCGTCACACACACACACACACACACACACACACACATACATATGCACACACGCACACTTTCTTTCTCCCTCTCTCTCTCTCTCTCTCTCTGTGTGTGAAATTTAGGCCAATGAATGACGTAGAAGCAGAATAAGAGACGTTGTTATGCAAACTAAACACTTTTTAACTCGAAGTTTAGCTGTTTATTGTTTTAAATGTAACATGTGTGCCTGTCAGAAAGAAATTAACGTATCTTTAAATGTGTTTTATTCTTTCTGCTCTAACTAGTAAGGCAAATATTTCCATCTATCTTGATACACAAGATTTTCTCTATTTGACGGTGTTCCATTAAGAATAATAAACGTAAATCAAAAAAGAAAAAATAAATCATGCTTATTGGTAAATCAATATACGAATAAAAAATCGAACGAGATATTGATATTACGCTATTTTGTATTTTTAATTAAAATCACTCCAAACATGCAGTAAAGTCACTAAGACACAAGTTTACTGGGTGTGAGAAAGAATTAGCAAACCGAAACAATACTGAAAAACGAGAACAATAGAAGAGGAATCAAGAAGATAGGAGATAACGATTGACATTGCTTTTAAATTTTTAAAGATCAACCTTAGCTGGAAAGAAAGGAACCGGAAGAGGATTCTACAAGCTACAAAGGCGAAAAAAGAAACTGTTAGCATAGAACTTACGGATACATCTCTCCAGTTCAACTGTAAATTGATAAGACCTTGTTGCAGGTTTATTACTGTACTTAAATTAAAAAAAAATCTAAGTACGATGGCGAAGAGCCCATCCAAACAATTACCATGAAAGCATTTGTAGAAGAAACAATTTTACGGCAGTGAAAAGTGACTCAAGACGGGATACCAGTTCAGCCCCAATAATATTGCTAATTCTTCTTTGGATTTTATCACCATATATGGCAGCAATATTCTAAGCATGTCCGAATGATAGACTTATATATATATATATATATATATATATATATATATTTATATATAAAATATATATATATAGTTTATGAAAAACTAGGTAATCCGTATGGGTAAACCTAAGGAGGATAAAATCCTGAGAGTTCAATGTAAATTCAGAGCAAATAATTTAAATATATATATATATAT